TTTAACTGCATGTAGCTATAAAATGACTAATCTTGCTGGAGCGTGTACTCTCGCAAAAGTTAGTTACGACATAGTCAAATTTTAGTTAAGGGGGACGACTGACAGTTACTAAATTTTGAATATATTTTACTGACATGGCGCTTATGCAAAGGCCGTCTAAAACAGAGGCAAAATATAGGATCTTTGGCTGACTGATAGTATTTGTACTTCGACTAAAGTGACTGAAAGTGGTTCTCAAGTGACGGAAAGAAGAGTCGGTCGGTATCAGCTCGAGAGAATGTATTTCCAGTGACTCTTAGTCACGTCCGCAGTCGAAAAGCAGCTCTGTTTAGTTGAACTTCAGTATGAAAATGTGACTGCTTTTAGCTGTAAAATAACTGATGCATAGACTGCGTTTTGCCTGATTTCACGTTAGCTAAACTCAAATTAAAATGCCGGAATAATCCGGGAAAATCCTCTTATCCCAGTCGCAGTTAGTAATTCGCGGCCAAAAGCAGTTCGCTCAGTTCATCTGCAGTTAGATAACGGCAATCCTCAGTTAACTTTTCCTCTAGGGGCGGGACTGGTCTGCATCAAGGGGGGTGGGGACCCCCCCGCCCCCCTTCCTGCCGAGGACGTGCGGCCACTGGAAAAACATCTAAACTATTCCGCGTCTAGACAAGTCTTTGACTCTGTTGGCGGGTGGCTAGACTTGGACTTGCTAACGAAACCCCGTGTGAGAGACCTCACGCTGAGGCGATGCTCCACGCCTGTTACGATTCTCAAAGCCATTTTTTCCCTCGCCATGAAAACGAAAATCGAGTCACGTGACCCAGTTCTCCGCTCGTGCGGTCACTCACTCACTCACTCACTCACTCACTCACTCACTCACTCACTCGTACGCGCACACTTGCCTTGCCTCGCCGCCCCAACTTCGTGGCCGCCTCTGCTCCTGTTTGGGGCAAAAGGCGCTCGATTCCCACACCGCTCTCTATCTCTTTCGTTCTCTCGTATCGCCCTCTCACTCTTTATTCCCCCCTCTCTGCATCCCCGCGCTTCGCAATGGTGAGAGGGAGAGGGAGGGAGTGAGAGCCGTGTGGTTCGATCAATCATGCTCTGGGCTGGAGTTATGGTGCGCTCGGTCTTGCCCCGCCGCCACTGGCTCCACACCAGACCTCGCGGCCAGTCGCGCGGCCCGCCTCAATATTTGACACGCGGGGTAAGGGTGAGCAGGTGCGGTGCGCCGAGTGAGCAGGTGCGGTGCGCAGGTGAGGAGATAGGGTGCGCCAAGTTGGCAGTTTAGGTGAGCAGGTGCCGTGCGGTGAGCAGGTGCGGTGCGCAGGTGCGGTGCGCAGGCGAGCAATTGAGGTGCGTAGGCGAGCAGGTGTGGTGCGCAGGTCACCAGAAGGGGTGAGCGGAGCAGGCAGGCGGGCAGGGACTGCAGCTGTCCAGCTGTCAGCGGCAGTCCGACGCGCACCGCCGCGTACGCGGTGGTATATCGTCGTCCGCGCTGGCGTGTGGTCCGTGAGCGCGCCGGTGCGCGTCTGTGACGGTGATGGAATGTGCGCAGGAG